TGCCCTGGCCAGATCATATGTTTTAACAATTAAAATGATGTTTAAATAAAAAGGTCTTTACCTGGCGCCGAAAAACCAGTAACGACGGTGCCAGGCGGACCTCTTTGGGGAGTGAATTCCATAGGTTGGGTTGGGTGCCACCGCAGGTAGCAGTCAATTTGAAAGACGCTTGCTTGCCGTGACCTCTAGAAATTGCCGCTAGAGCCAATCAAAGTCCCCAAACCCTTTTGGGCCCAGAGGCATGCTTGACATTCAAACCACAGTTGTGTTTTGTGCAAGGTTGCTTTGGAGGGGGGAGGGGGAGGCTGCCACTGGGGTTTTCTGTGATGAGGGGTCTGTGTGCGTGTGTGTGTGTTGCTAAAACCAGTGACTGATTATAAACAAAGCATTGATTCCTGCTGTCCCATCCCATCCTTCCTGCTCTATTCCCTTCCTTTCCTTTTCTAAAGTGGAAGGGAGAGGGAGAAAAAGATAGTGAACTTGCCTCCAAAAAGTTGGGCAATGTGAAAGGGGGAAAGAGTGGGGCCATTTGGGGAATCCTAGAAGGCCGGATTCGATCTATGGGTCTGAGGTTCTGCATTCTTGGAACAGAGGTTGACTAGTATTAAGTTGTTCTCTTTCTCTCTTTCCTTTTTCCTTCCTTTTCCTTTTGACCCAGAGCTCGGCTGTTGGTGAACCAATGACTGAAAACGAGGCGATTACCCCGCTGAGAGATCCTGAGGTCATGGAGCCATGCGGGTCCCTGCTGGAAGTGGCGAAAGACCTTTCCACATTTCAGGAAGTAGAAGGCATCTGTGAGCTTGAGAGCAGGCCAGAGGGGCCGCCGGCGATCCTTCCGGGGCTGGATGAAGGCAGCTCCCTTGAGGGAACTTCCTACATCTGCTCCGATTGTGGGAAAAGTTTCAGCAGCATCTCCAGCCTCATCAGCCATCAAAAGCGAAACCACTCGGGGGAAAAACCGTACAAGTGCTCCGACTGCGGGCGGAGCTTTCACCAGAGCTCGGATCTCGTCAAGCACGAGAGGATCCACACGGGGGAGAAGCCGTACAAGTGCTCCGTGTGCGAGAAGCGCTTCAACCAGCGCTCCTACCTGATTGTGCACGAAAGGTTCCACACGGCAGAGAAACCGTACAAATGCTACTTGTGTGGGAAGAGCTTCTGCTCCAACTCGCATCTCATGACCCACCAAAGAACGCACACCGGAGAGAGGCCATACCAGTGCCCCGACTGTGGCAAAAGATTTACGACCAGCTCGAACTTTGTCAACCATAAGAAAACGCACACTGAAGACAAACCGTACAACTGCTCGGTGTGCGAGAAAAGCTTCAAGCGGAGCTCGAACTTGATTCAGCACGAAAGAACCCACACGGGCGAGAAGCCCTACATGTGCCTGACCTGTGGGGAAAGCTTTGCTTCCAACTCGGGCCTCGTGAAGCACCAGCGAAGCCATACAGGAGAGAGGCCGTATAAATGCTCCTACTGCGGGAAAAGCTTCAGCCAGAGCGTGATTCTCACGCAACACGAGAGGACCCACACGGGCGAGAAACCCTGCAAGTGCCCGGCCTGCGGGAAAAGCTTCCGTTCCAGTTCAGACCTCATCAAGCACAAACGGATCCACACGGGCGAGAAGCCCTACAAGTGCTCACTGTGCGGGAAAAGCTTCACAACCAGCTCGGATGTGGTGAAGCATGAGAGGACTCACACGGGCGAGAAGCCCTACAAGTGCGGCACCTGTGGGAAGAGCTTCAGCCAGAGCGCACACCTCATGCAGCACCAGCGGATCCACACAGGAGAGAAGCCGTACACCTGCCTCACCTGCGGACGATGCTTTACATGCAGCGCACACCTTGTGGTCCATAAAAGGACCCACAAAACGGAGGAGGCCTTAAAAGCGTAACTGTTCTGGCTCTGTGCGTGTGTGTAGTAGAAACTTGACTGTCTGGCCTGATGTAATTCAGTGGCAGATTCAACGCAAACCTTAAAAATGTTCTATGCAGCAGGCAAACCAGACTTTTGTAAAAGTTGACTAGGACCTATTTTAGAGGGGAATGAAAGAAAAAGAAATCCTAAGCTTCATTCCTGTACACTCTCTTCCATGAGTGAGTCCCACTGGATTCAGTGGAACTTCCTGCTGAGCAGGGGTGTATGGAAGTTGTCAGATCTGTGATGTGTGGAGCATCTGTTTTGGGGGTGGGACCTGTTGGATTCCCTCGGCTTGGCTCCCTAGATTCTGCCCCACTTTCTCTTTGCCCAAAGTCTGCTTTGGGCTGAGCGTTTGCTCAGGAAAGAAAGGAATCCAAGCAAATCTAGTTTGCAAACACACCACCTACTCGTCCGCTATGCGAGCAAAATTCTGCTTCCACATACGTGATTTGTGGGCTCCATGTACCTTGCACAAAGAACATCGGACTTTGTGCAAAGAATTACATACTTTGCAAACTTTGCACAAGGAATTACATACTTTATAGATTTTGTGCAAAGAAGCCGCTAGCATTCCCCAGTGTTTGCAGACTTGATCGCATGGGAAAGAAGTCAGAGACAAATTCCGGCCTGATCTTTACATCCCTATTCAGGAAATTTTGTTCCCTCATTTGTTCACTAACCGAATTGGATTTTATGTACAGGAATTGTGTTCATTTGCTGATGTGCAGCTGTGTTTATCCCACCCCCAAAAGAACTAAGAAACAAACATTCACAGAATCTACTTGGGAAAAGCCGATCCACTGTGGAATCTGCTGGTTGGATTCGTAGAAATAGAAGCTAATTTGAATCTGTTGCAGATTTTTCTGGGATCCTTACTTCTCACTAGACGCACTTAGGATCGTACTGTTAGTAACTGATGTGTTCTTATGATCTGTGGAAAAAGAAAAAGCCCAACTAGGAGAGAAGCCATACTATTTTCGAACCACTAGAACAATACTGATAGTTCCCTGTACTGAGCAACATGAGTGGTAAACCTAATTTAAACTGAAGGTTTTCTATCATATTAGTGGCACATAAAACTGACACAGAAGTTGTCCAAAGGCACTTCCTGATACTTTTGGAGAGAAACAGCTTGGGAGTAAAATTGCAGGAGGAAACTACTATGAAATTGCAATTGTCAGTACAAAAGTAAATGACGTTTTCGCGCATTATAATATGTATTTCCCTTGTAATAAAGATGGGTGTCTGTGTGTTTTGTACAAGCTATCCTTCTGAGGACATGCGAATCAGCTCCCTGATTCAGGCAGATTTTGTAACTCCTGGTCCAGAGTGTTTAATTTCTTTTTAGAAAGAGAAGGGAAGGACAGCCCTGGTTTTCCTCATGGGAAATGCTCAGGAAAAGGGGGGCAGGTTGGAGGGCAAAGGAATTCCCCATCCTTGAGTATTTATTTTGGTACCAAATTTGCTGTCTGTTCCAAATGGCCTGAAGCTGTTCCTGCTGATCAAGGACCACTTAGGCAGTACGGTGGTGCCCCATCACGTAGCTAGCTGGACTTGACGCTGTGTGGCATCACCAAGCCAAGTCAGAGTGAGGGTAGTGCTTTCTACCTTTACTCTGAATGCACAGGCATTTTTGCCTTGTTTTGCAAGCTGTTTAGAGCCATCCCCAAATAATGGCTTTGTACATAGTTTTTGTATTTTTTTTCCCTGCCACCACCAGACTGAATCTGCCATTTAATACCTTTAATTCTAACATCAACGGGACTATGCATAGATAGAAATATGTTTTATGTTGTGAGCCGCCCCGAGGTTTATGTTGTGAGCTGCCCCGAGGCTTCGGCGAATGGGGCGGCATAGAAATGTTTTAATAATAATAATAATAATGATACTAATATAGTTTACCATAAAAAGAAAAAAGTGGGGGGCCGACCCAGTAGGTCTGATGTTTTCGATGATTGATGATTTTTTGGTTTCCTTTTTGTTAGGTTTATTAGGAATAAAACTTACTCAAAAAATAATTCTAACATCAGAGGAAAGGGAAAACAGGGCTATTTGATAACCAGAGTTAGACCTTAAAACAGGCGGGAGGGCTGTTGGTGAAAATAAAAAGCACACAGTATTTTTCCCTCTTGCTGGTCATATCTAGTGCTGCGACCTTTCAGGAATTTGCCCATAACTGACAGACGTGGGGCTGAAGGATGATGAGAGCTATGATGTGATTCCAGGTTTTGAATATTAGACATTAGCAGGGAAAGGGGAGGATGGAAAGATGGTTGTCATTTTTCTGCTGCAACACCTTCCGCAAAGCTCGGTTCCAGTCCTAGGAAGCCTCGAATCCTTTGATCTGTGAGAAACTGGCCGCACTGCCCTCTAGTGAGGGGAAGGAAATATTATTATTATTATTATTATTATTATTATTATTATAACATTTCTATGCTGCCCCTTGCCGAAGCCTCGGGGCGGCTTACAACACAATAAGATACATTCAAATACAATAGAACATAATAAATTACCGCTTAAATACAAAAATACAAAAAATACACAGATACAATAATATAAAATTAAAATTAACAGTATAAAATAAGTAAAGAATATAGGAGGAGAAAAGAGAAGGAAGAAGAAGTTGCCCTGGCCAGATCATATATTTTAACAATTAAAATGATGTTTAAATAAAAAGGTCTTTACCTGGCGCCGAAAAAACAGTAACGACGGTGCCAGGCGGACCTCTTTGGGGAGTGAATTCCATAGGTTGGGTGCCACCGCAGAGAAAGCTCTCCTCCGAGTACTTACTCTCCTAATTTCTTTCATGGAGGGTTCCCGGAGAAGGGACTCTCCCGCAGATCTCAAAGGGCAGTCGGGCATATACGGACGTAAGCGCTCGTTCACGTAGCCAGGACCCAAGCCGTTTAGGGCTTTATAGGTCATAACCAACACCTTGAATTGGGCCCGGGCTTCAATGGGAAGCCAGTGAAGCTGACGGAGGACTGGAGTCGTGAGCATAACGCCCCGTCCCCGTCGGCAACCTGGCAGCTCTATTTTGCACCAATTGAAGTGTTCGGACTGTCTTCAGGGGAAGCCCCACGTAAAGCACGTTACAGAAGTCTAGGCGGGAAGTCACCAGCGTGTGTGTCACCGTCGCCAGGCAGTCGTACTCCAGGTAGGGGCGCAGCTGATGGATCAGCCGAAGCTGAAGGAAGGCACTCCTCGCCACCGCTGTCACCTGAGCTTCCAAAGAAAGCTCCGGGTCGAGGAGCACTCCCAAGCTGCGGACCTTGTCCCTAAGAGGGAGTGTTGCACCATTCAGGGCCAGGTCAAATCCACCCTCTCCAAAGCCCGATCCGCCAACCAACAGGACCTCCGTCTTGTCTGGATTGAGCTTCAGTTTATTGGCCCTCATCCAGCCCATTACCTCGGCCAGGCACCAGTTCAGCACAGCCACTGCCTCACCTGGATTGGTGGAAAACAAGAGGTAGAGCTGGGTATCATCAGCGTATTGATGATTCCGCAGCCCACACCTCCTGATGACCTCTCCCAGCGGTTTCATATAGATGTTAAATAGCAGAGGGGATAGAATGGAGCCCTGTAGTACTCCATGGCATAGCTGCCATGGCACAGAGACATAGTCCCCCAGCACTACCTTCTGGAATCTATACATGTTCAGAGTTGCTTTTGACCTTTTTTCTCCCTACCAGGCTCGATCCAGCATCCACCTTCCAAAGGAAGAGAGCACCTTGCACACGAGAGGCAAGGCTTCCCTCGCAGAAGGTCCCTAAACCAGGTTTTTGGGATCCCCGCTTCCCACAGCTTGCCCTGTTCTGAGCAGGGCAAGGGAAATGGGGCTGAGCTCCAGTCTGCCCACTTGTAAACCTAGACGAAGATGGCCGGGCCGACTTCCACTTTGTGCCATGCCAGGTTCCCAGTTAAAGTGTACAGTTTCTAAACATCTTGAACAGTAAAATAAAAAGCAGGAGGGGCAAATGAATTTGCTGGGCAGTGAGAGAGATGCCTGTAGGCCTGGGACAGGAGCCGCCTCTGAAAAGCGAAGAACTAAGTTTGGGTTTCCTGGTTGGAACCCCTTCATGTTCTCAGGTCAGGCCCTAGTATTTAAAGGTCTTTATTGTGTATGATTTAAAGGCCCCCTCTTAATCCTGGGAAGGTGGCCCTATTGTAAAACAGAAAAACCTCAGCTATTTATTCCATCCTGCAGCTGAAAAGGCTGCAGGAGCAATTTACAACAGCCAGTTAAAAACAAGGTAGTCCTTGTGTGAGATGCAATCCAAATAGAAACGACGTGAAAGGAAAAAGAGATGGGGAGGGAAGAGGAAAGATGGAAGCAAGTAGCTTTTCAGATGGCCTAACAGAATGGACCTGCTTTGTTCTTGTCAGTTCTCCCCAGACACCTTTGGAAAGCACTTCGTTGCTAAATTGCCCACAACGGAAGCTGTCCAGATTAGCCAAGCCGGGGTGTCCCTCCGTTTTGCCATTACTACGAGAACATCCCCGCCTCGTAGTGCTCCTGATGGGATGAAGACTGGAGACTGAGGATAGGCTTATGTGTCCAGAAGATGGAAATGGTGGTGTTTGAGCCCTTTATATAATTCCTGACCAGACCTCCAGATCTGGAAAGCAGGAAATGTATTTAAAGGGATTGGCCAGTCCCCTGGTCAAAATTGAAATGCACCCAGATGATCTTACATAGAATCACTAAACCCTCCAACTTTTTAAACGGGGGGCCAGTTCACTGTCCCTCAGACTGTTGGGGTGGGGGGGATGAACTATAGTTTTAAAAAATATATGAATGAGTTCCTATAAACATTGCACATTAAAATTAATTAAAATAAATTTAAAAATTAATTAAAATTAAAAAATGTTTCCTCCACTCCCTCGGCCTGCAGCAGAAGCCCAAGGTGAGGTGGGGAAGAGCATATCCATATTCAAGGGACAGAACTACAACACCACCAAGGCACTAAATATAGTATTTTGCATAATACAGCTGATGACTGCACTTGGCATTTACAAAGAATGAAGTAAAAATACTAAGGATAAATCCTGTGAATGCCACTCTTAGTATTAGAAGCTAGTCAGCCCAGAACAATTCCCACAATACACAATGGCTGTATTTGGATGCAGAGCTAATGACTACCATATTTTAAGTGCAACCTTGCCAAAACTGGTACTGTCCAGATGAGTTGGCCTACAACTTCCATTGGCCATGCTGGTTGGGCATGATGGAAATTATAGTCCTTGCCTCCGCCCCGGTTCTGAGGGAGCAGGAGCGGCAGCGGGGAGCCGGAGAGGCAAGCGCGGGCTTCTACCTCTTTGTGGACAGAACGAGAATTTAAATAATAAAGAGCATGTGGGATCCTTACGGGAGCAGCGAGATTAGAAATGGGGCATAATTGGAAAGATGTTAAGGGCTTCCTTCAAAGATATTTAGGAAGGGTATGGGAAATTGCACTAAAGGAACATTGACTAGACGGACTAGAATCCTGAGAGGGGAAATGAAAATGGATAATTTCATTAAACTTTGGCACCCCTTACTAACCTTGAATATGGAATCACATATTGAGATAAATATGGTGGAGAACCATAAAGTCAGGGCTTTTTTTGTCATAGAACACACCGAAACGGCGTTCCGGCACCTTTTTTTGACGGATTTTTCCAAGTGATTGTGAATCGCCCTGTTGGGTGTAGCAGATCTGTGGCAGAAATCATTAACATAGTGCCTGCGGGCTGTTTGTGTGTCGGCGCCGATTGTGAGATTGTGAGGGCGCTGCTCGGCTTGGGATTGTGTGGTCGCTGACTCAGCCGGCAATGACCATTGTGTAAAAGTGTGACCCCAAGACGTGAGTTCCAGCACTTTTTTTTTTTTTTTTTACAAAAAAAGCACTGCCTATAGTATATTGGCCTGTTGTTTAGTAAGTCTATTTATACATACATACATACATTTGTGACAATTTGTGGAATAGACTTGGAATGGAGATGTAAATAGTAATTCTTATATAGAAAATGTACATGCTGTAAGATGATTATATGTTTTTGCTATTATTAAGGATTACCAATTTAAGGTTAAATAGATGGAGTGCAACATGGAAGCTTAAACAACAGGAAAAATATCAATCAAGCCCAAAATAAAACCTTGCAGCAATACACACGTTAGCACATAAAAGCAGGCTTAAAGCCACAGAAGTTTTCTGGCAAATGCTCTGGGCACCAATCAGTCATAACCATGGATATATATGGTCACTCA